GCTTCTCATAGCAAAATTCAAGCTTAAACTGAACAGAGTAGGAAAAACCACTGGGCTAGTCACGTATAATCCAAACCAAATCCCTTATGAATACACAATGGAAGTGAAGAACAGATTTAAGGAACTAGATATGGTGGACAGAGTGCCTGAGGAACGTTGGATAGAGGCTCGTAACATTGTCCAGGAGGCAGCAACGAAAACCATCCCAAAGAAAAGGAAATGCAAGAAAGCAAAGTGGCTGTCCAATGAGGCCTTACAAATAGCAGAGAAGAGAAGGGGGAAAATGCAAGGGAGATAGGGAAAGTCACAGAAAATTGAATGCAGACTTCCAGAGAATAACAAGGAGAGACAAGAGGGCCTTCTTAAATGAACAGTGTAAAGAAATAGAGGAAAATAATAGAAAGGGAAAAATCCAGAGATCTGTTCAGGAAAATTGAAGACATTAAAGGAACATTTTGTGCAAAGATGGATATGATAAAGGACAAAAATGACAGGGACCTAACAGAAGCAGATGTCAAGAAGAGGTGGCAAGAATACACAGAGGAATTATACCAGAAAGATGTGGATATCCCGGACAACCCAGATAGTGTGGTTGCTGACCTTGAGCCAGACATCCTGGAGAGTGAAGTCAAGTGGGCCTTAGAAAGCTTTTTTAACAAGGCTAGTAGAGGTGATGGCATTCCAGACAAACTATTTGAAATCTTAAAAGATGATGCTGTTAAGGTGCTACATTCAATATGCCAGCAAGTTTGGAAAACTTAACAGTGGCCAGAGGAACTAGAGACCAAATTGCGAACATGCGCTGGATTATGGAGAAGGCCAGAGAGTTACAGAATAAACATCTGCTATATTGACTGTGCAAAAGCCTTTGACTGTGTGGACCACAGCAAACTATGGCAACTCCTTAAAGAAATGGGCGTGCCTGACCACCTTGTCTTTCTCCTGAGAAACCTATACGTGGGGCAGGAGGCAACAGTTAGAACTGGATATGGAACGAATGATTGGTTCAAAATTGGGAAAGGAGTACAACAAGGCTGTATATTGTCCCCCGGCTTATTTAACTTAAATGCAGAATACATCATGCGAAAGGCTGGACTGGACGAATCCCAAACTGGAATTAAGATTGCCGGAAGAAATATCAACAACCTCCAATATCCAGATGATACCACTCTGATGGCAGAAAGTAGGAGGAATTAAAGAACCTTGTAATGAGGGTAAAAGAGGAGAGCACAAAAAATGGTTTGAAGCTCAACATCAAAAAATCTAAGATCATGGCCCCTGGTCCCATCACCTCCTGGCAAATAGAAGGGAAGATACAGAGGTATTGACAGATTTTACTTTCCTGGGCTCCATGATCATTGCAGATGGTGACAGCAGCCAGGAAATTAAAAGATGCCTGCTTCTTGGGAGGAAAGTGATGACAAACCTCAACAGCATCTTAAAAAGCAGAGACATCACCTTGCCAACAAAAGTCCGAATAGTCAAAGCTATGGTTTTTCCTGTAGTGTTGTATGGAAATGAGAGCTGGACCATAAAGAAAGCTGACCGCTGAAGAATTGATGCTTTTTAATTGTGGTGCTGGAGGAATCTCTTGAAAGTCCCCTGGCCTGCAAGGAGAACAAATCTATCCATTTTGAAGGAAATCAACCATGAGTGCCTACTGGAAGGACAGATCCTGAAGCTGAGGCTCCAATCCTTTGGCCATCTGATGAGAAGAGAAGAATCCCTGGAAAGGAGCTTGATGTTGGGAAAGTGTGAAAGGAGGAGGAGAAGGGACAACAGAGGATGAGACAGTGTTGTCATCAGTTGGACAGTGTCATCAAAGCTACCAGCATGAATTTGACACAACTCCTGGAGTCATTGGAAGACACGAGGATCTGGCGTGCTCTGGTCCATGGGTCCATGAAGAGTGGGACATGTCTAAACGACTAAACAACAACAACTGTAGGCTGCATTAACAGAAGTATAGTTTCCAAATCCCATGAAGTATTAGTCCCCCTCTCTTCATCACTGGGTTAGGCCTCATCTGTACTGTGTCCTGTTCTTGACACCACACTTTAAAATGGATGGCAACAAAGTGGAACAAGTTCAATGAAGGGCAACGAGGATGATCAGAAGACTAGAAATCAAGCCCCATGAAGAAATATTGAAAGAACTGGGCATGTTTGACCATGAGAAAAGAAGACGGGGAAGATATGGTAGTACTTTTCTGTACTTGAAAGAGAGTGATACAGAGGAGGAGTGGGATCTGTTCTCTTTCATCCCAGAGGGCGGGGCACATAATGGGCTCAAATTACAGGAAGCCAGATTTTGGTTGAATATCAGGAAAAAAGTCTTTATAAAAGATTTACAATTTAAAATGTGTATTCTGTGTTCATAATATCTTTTCCTCTTATATAATGAAGACTAGTACAACTAACACAGTTAGTTTGTCTTTGTCTGGATCATATCTTGCATGTGCCGTCGCTGGTTGTACATCTCTTCATGTATCTCCAGGCTTGCTTGGAGTGTTCTTCTTTTCCCTCCAAGGAATACATGCACCTTCTGTGTTTCTTGGGTTCTTTGGCACAGTGACTTTGATTCATTTAACTGAGCATAAAGCAAATGCAGTGTTCAGAGTAGATAGAATAATTACCTTAATTGTGTGTCTATGGCTACAGTGTCCTGCTTCCTTTTTAAAACAAATATGGTTACTCTCAAATAGTAGCTATATATATATTTGCTCTTCTTTAAGATTCAGCACATGCTGACTAGATTTGAATCCAGTTTCCTACCTCACTTTGCTTAGCACACGGTAGGTCTGTAACAGCCTTTCTTCATTAAGCCGCTTGACATACTTTAAAGCTCAGTTTCATACTTCAACCTTTGTACTTGGAGGGGGGTTAAGTAGAAGGATTTTACATTCCTTTTCCTTACTCTAAGGAGAAGAGAAGGGATTATACAGTGGAATGAAGTAATAGTGGGAAGAATGGCTTGATGTACAGGGGAAATGAATGGATGATGAATTTTCCCACAGACATGGGAAGACTTGGTTCCAAGTTGCAATGGTACTAGCTACCCTTTATTTTTTTTAGCTTTGTTAAGGAACGATCTAAGATCAATGCACTGCCCATGAAGAATAAGAAGGCCAGCAGTTTTCATGAGTTTGCTCGTGACACAAGTGATGCCTGGGACATTGGGGATGATGAAGATGAGGACCTCTCATCTTTTCAGACTTTGAACTCTAAGGTGGCCAAGGCCACAGCAGTGCAGGTGCTGGAGAATCACAGCAGATTGCGTGTGAAACCTGAACGGCCCCAGGCACCTCTGAGTGAAGCACTAACCAATTGTAAAGTCATCAAGTCCAGTAGTGATGCCCAGCTATCCAAAATGCCTGGTAAGAGCCTTATTGTTCTTTTTTACAGCTTATGATTTTTATCAAAGTTTTACAGCTTTCTATAGTTCTGTACGGTAGTCACATTCAGAGTCACGGGAAAAGTATTGAATATCTGAGACTCCTGATTGTTAGCTGAGAAATGTGGGTTTCTTTTCTTTATGGTACTAAAAAGTAGACTTGAATGTATGTAGTAAATTTCTGGTCCATGGAGTCACGAAGAGTCGGACACGACTAAACAACTAAAGAACAACAGTAAATTACTGACAAGATAATTGAGAGATTGGTAAGTACAGCAGAGATACACATGACCTGAGGTTCAGCCTGGTTTGGTGCAGCGCCCGCACAGCTTCCCTCCACCACCTCTTTGGGCAATTGTCCACTTACTGGCAGTAGAAAGGGGTCCTCTGCCCCACCTCCTTGTCTGAGTGAGTGATCGCCTGGAGGAGGTAGAAGAGGGAAGCATGCTCCTGTTGGTGAGCGGGCCGTCGCCTGGGGAGGTGGGAAAGAGAAGGAACACCTGTACGTTTGCTGAACTGGGCCAAACTGTGGTTCATGCCCATCTCTAGAGTACAGTACTCTGAAGGTAAGATTTCAGTGACTTGTTTATTTACTTTTTCCCTGTGTTCAGGAAGAACAGAGTAAATTAAACTAGGTATATAAAGATATGATTTGTTTATATAATAATTTACAGGCATTGTTGACAGTAGATTACTAAACTAGACAAATCCAGGATCTGATCTGATAGCTTTCTTTTCTTTCACGTTATGGAACTTATTGTCTCTTGGCACAGAATGCAAGTTACCTTGCTCTGCTTTGCAATTTATGTACCTTCCCAGTAGAGAGTGCTGTCTGGCTCTGAAAAATCCACTTTCCTGTTTCATAACTACCACCAGATGGCATCAGAGTCCATCTCACACTTAACGATGTTTAGAGGAATTTGGTATTATAAATTGCCTGAGATTTTCTGTTATGTACTGTTGAGTTTGCTTTTCAGCGTATTAAAGGAAGAAGCAAGGGAAGAGAGAAGGTAAATGGAAAGGGAGCAGTGAAAACCTAGTCATATTTTAGAGCTGGAGGACAGGCCAAAGGGCCTGTTAGCCAAAGTAGTCTGAGGGTCCTTCATGAACAGTGGCTATAGAACCCAATATAACATCTTGCCTTCCCTACCACACTCATTAGTGTAATCAAAGTGATTGAGGCTCCCTCTCAGTCTTTTCCTGAAATGTCATACTAGTGATAGTGAAGATCACAAAGCATTCCATTAGCTGTAAGGAAATCCTATGCAGGGATTTTCATTGTTCTGTACAATGGGAGGTTGAGGCAGAGCAGTTTAGTCCAGCAAGAGTGGATGAGTTTAAGGTACATATCATGTAGACATGGAGTTATACTTGTTGTTGTATGTAACAGTGTGGTAAACAGATGAACTTTCTGCCATCACTAAGAGATGGGAGGAGAAATGCACAAGTATGGAGTCTTTTCCTTCCATATTTATTTATTTGATTTAATAAATAAATACGTGGCTAAGGTGTAGAAGCCTTCTTGCAATTGAGAATTCTGGTTGCACGGAGAAAGTAATAGATTCTAGACCCCAAGGCAAGGGTTGCTGCTGCCTGGTTTGCTCATAACCTGATGAAGCTTTTTAAAACTTCCAGAGGATGCCTGTATGCGCAACCCCCTCCACAAACAGCAGTCCCTCCCACTCCGGCCTATTATTCCACTTGTTGCTCGCATCTCTGACCAGAATGCTTCAGGTGCACCTCCCATGACAGTGCGTGAGAAAACCCGCTTGGAGAAATTCCGGCAGCTTCTGTCCAGCCAAAACACTGATCTAGGTGAGTCTAAGATGGGATAGCTGAAAGCCCTTGTTGCCCTGCTGGTTTCAGAAGCACACTAAAAAGACTTCTGTGTTGAAAATAGAACTGAAGAAACTAGTTTCTCGTCATGCCCCAGAACCTCCCATGGGCTGCATCAACCCCACAGATGAATTTTACTGAAATTCAGGGACCAAAAAAAGCACAGAATACTGTTCTGCCGGTTTAACATACATTTTCATTTTAAGACATGTGAAGACATACACATTGTCCTAAAGAACAATTGTGGTTCTAGCAATTCTCCTTGTTTCAGATGAAAAAAAGTATGATGTTTCTCTACTGCATTGGTGCAGTGCTGCCAAATTTAATCGGGGTGGCGAAGACAGGCCACGAGCCACACGTGGGCTATGTGTTGTCTGTCCTAGTCTGAATCATCCTTCCATGACTCATTCCCTCCAAATGACCTCTGTCTTCAGCCCCAATCAGTACGGAAATGGTCAGCATGGTAGTCCAATTAATCTGGAAGGCACCAGTTTGAGGAAGGCTGGTCTTGATAATAAGGCATACCACTCTGTATGTGTGGAAACATCTTATCTCTTATGCACCTTTCTGTGTGTTTGAGCCTGCTTTTAATATAGATTAAAAACATGTACATAATACTTTGATAAATATAATTAGAAACCAGTCATTATCACATACAAAACTCCCACTGGAGACACTATTGTCATAGAAACTGATGTATTCAAAGAAAAAGCCTGCTTATGGCCTTGACGGTCTGGAGAATTTGCTTTTCTTCCCAAGTTTAGGAATACAGGGTGGGATACTATATGCGAAAAAAACTAACTGCTGTTCATTTGCAGATGAATTGAGAAAATGCAGCTGGCCTGGTGTCCCCAGAGAGGTCCGGCCTGTAACGTGGCGACTTTTATCAGTGAGTGCTGCATCCTCCAAGTGAGGGCAATTTGAATATATCTTCCAGATAAAAAAATACACACATGAGGCATAACTGAACTATATGGTGATGTGGCAGTTTTCTGGGCTCCTGGCTGAAGTCTGTACCTCTGAGCCTTTCTCCCTAAAATCCTTTAATTGGAGGGAGAAGTACAAGTACCACTCTTGTTATGTGGGAGAGCCATATGCTTCTTTGTTGGGTTTTAAAAACAGAAAATTTAGAAGTGAACATTGCCCAAATTGTCAGGCTGATTACACCTGGAAAATGCATGTGCATATCAGGGAGAAGGAATGATTATTAGAATTAGGATTGCTGGATTCAGTACAAGCAGCCTCAAATGTTTTTAAGCATTTGATTTTAGAGGAGGTTTTGGCACTTGCAGGTTCCCCCACCATAGCAGCCTGCCCATGGAAGAAGTTGGAGTTGTAGAACTTCTGCTTTCTAGGCAATTCCTATGTCACTTCAGTTTCTCTGTTGATGAAATCGCTATCTAAGTTAAGATGATTCTCTAATTGAGGTAGGAATCCCAATTCAGCAGTGGCGTAGGAACAAGATGGAATGATAAATACTAATACCTCCATCTCTAGTCTTGAATACAGCAGACGGAACAAGACTCTGTCTTGCCTTGACAGATTTCTCTTCTCCTACAGGGTTATCTTCCTGCCAGCATGGAGAGGAGAAAGCTAACCTTGCAGCGTAAACGTGAAGAGTATTTTGGCTTCATTGAGCAGTATTATGACTCCAGAAATGAAGAGCATCATCAGGATACATACCGGCAGGTATCCAGACATTTGCCTCTTGCAGTTCCTGTCCCTTGCAGCTTTGGTGGATTCCATTGCAAGGGTCTTAAAGATTTCCCCTCATAGCCATCCTTCATTCTTTGACTTTCAGCTCTGTTATGGTATTAGGACTATAGAGTTTGCTGGCAAAAGTGAACAGATGCATTTTGACAGTTAGCCAGATACTGAAAGTTGCTCTGATTCTCGAATCTCATTCCTGTTACAGTTACTCTAAATACAAGAAGTGGAGTTGATTGCTGATAGGCTATAAGAATTGTTTATTTTATGCAGGGATCTTTATTGAAAAATCTGTTCTGTATAACTGAAGGAATAGCAAGCAGTTCTTGGTGTCAGGATGACTAATGAGTCTTAGTCATATTGCTGCATTGTTTTGAGTCTTAGAAATATGTTTGGCATTGTGTTGAAGTTTAACAGATGGGATCGGCAATCCTCAAATGTTCTCTGATGTTTTAAAATTTTGTTTCAGATCCATATAGACATTCCACGGACGAACCCCCTCATCCCTCTGTTTCAGCAACCATTAGTTCAGGAGGTGAGAAGAGCCGTTTTTCTTTTCCCTCTTCTGCAGTGCAATGTACCAGGCTATGTTGTGGCCACAGACAGCTTCCTGAGGGATTCTCTTTTTCTATTCAACGTGTTACTTTTCTTCCTTAATCAGCTGCTTTCTGTTTTATGCAAAGGTTGTTCTGATAGACCAGGGAATTGCCATTGAGTTAAATATACCAGGCAGACCTTCTACTTACCATCCAATTCTGAATTCTGCAACTTGCAAATACTGTACATATTCTGTGCTCAGACCAAACTCTTTAAATCCAATATATGTTTTAAAAAGTTTCTTTTTCAGGGGTATAGTTGGTTTGCATACTTTATTCTCAACGTCCTGGTCCTGGCAAAAACTCTCCCTCTTTTCCAAACATTCACACCATCTGAAATTGACCACATCTAGACATTAGAGAGTGTATGCCTGTGTCCGAAAAGTCAGTCAGGGATGGGAATATCTTGTATCTTAGTTTTTCCTCTTCCTTTCTGATATTGTCTTGTAATGCAAAATGTGTCAAATGATGTCATCACATTCCAATGCCTTGTCCCTTCTCCACTTCATTATTGCTGGTGGAGTTGGAAAATATATATAACACAAGCAATTTAATACTGCTTGCAATGTGCTGATAGGTCACTTTATCTCGTTTGTTGCTGTATGCTGCAGAGAAGAGACAAGAAAGAAATGTGAGACTGTTATTCTCATCTGTTACCAAGTTTACTCTGTAATGTCTAGTTCTGGTTTACATTTCATATGGATCTACATTCTTTTCTGTCACATGCAGACATTGAATAAAATTGGGGATATGGGGACTGACATGGCAAGGACTGGATTCTGTTCATTACATTTTTCTATTCATAATACTATTAATATTAATTATTAATATTAATAATAATCTTTCCCTTTCTAAAATTATGCTTAATTAGTTGCAACACTTTGAAACTCTGACATACATTTTAGGACATTTATTATCCTACTTCCCAGTTTGAAAGAATTACCAGAATGACATCCTCCCCCACAAAAAAAGAGAAAAAGTTTTTAATCTATTTAAAATCAGAGTAAGTTAAGTAACAAACTAGGTGGCATGCCAGCATTCAGGTAAAATTTAAACTAAATTAAATACAAGTTGTATGGAAATGAAAAGGCCTTCTTTTGGCAATGAAAAGAAATTTTCCTTCCTTCAGGAAAGAGTCCCAAAATCAAGCATCACAGTCCAGAATATCCCAGTCTTCGTCAGCTGCCACATAGACAGCTGATCATTGGTGGTGGGGAAATCAGCGTATAGTCTCTGGACTTCTGTGGAAGATAGTCATGATCATGCTTGCTTGCTTTGGTGTTACAGTAAAAAGTGTTGGGGCATGGCAATACCATTACTGGGGAACATTAAAAAGGGATCTCTAAGACCAAGTGCCGGTTTCTGCACATGGCAGGAGATAGAGATCTGAAGCTGCTATGTCCATGTGTGTGCAGCAAAGCTAAAGATAAAATTTCCTAGTAGTGATGTGCAATGCCTAAGATCTCACAGCATTTTGGTGACAGAGCCATGAGTGAGGTCAGCTTTTGGCTGTACTAGACAAAAGTGCAAATATTCATAAGCAAAAGCTGGCATCTTTTATACAGCTGATAATCCTTTGACCAACCTGATTGTGCTGACTATTTCCTAATGCCTGCAGATCACAGTTTCAGTCAAATACAAGTAGACTTAATTCATTTCAGAGGGCTTAATCCATTCCAAAATTTGTGTGCATAGCAAAGTTACAGATGTTTCCTTTATCTAAGAACCAGTTGTTGATTGGGTGTTGACGTTCATGGTAACTAATGCAAGGACTATCTAAAACCACAGGCCTTGCCAGCATGAAAGTTTGATTCAGATCTTCAGGTTTCTGGAGCGCAGAAGCACACAGTGAGTCCTATAAATGAATACCTCACAAAGTCCTGCGGGTTGGCTAGAAATAGGTCCATGACTATTCTGAGATCTGTTGTCATTATTGTTGTAATAATACCTTGTTTGCTGGTGTGTATCCTCTTTTGTAGCAGACAAAATTCAGGGATAAAACATTGTTTAATCTAAAAGCCAAAGAACTTCACTGTTTTAGAGGTGGTGGTCCTGTAACTGTAATACAGACTGTGTTTAGTGTGATGAATAGGAGCTGTATGTTGTAAACGGGGTGAATATAATTGCTGAACAACCTGTAAGGTTTTAAAATGAACATAAACAAATGGGTTTCCTGCGGATTCCATATGCAAGATAGTGTTCAGTAATAGTCCAGCAGTATGACTAGCAATACATACCTTCTAAACTTTTTTTGTTAAGTTTGTTTTTGTTAAATAAGTAGGCTTTTCTTACCCTGCTTATTTATTTATTTATTTATTTATTTGATTTCTACCCCGCCCCTCTAGACAGAATCTACTCGGGGTGGCTTACAGTTATAAAACATCATAAAAATAATCATAAAAGATGTTGTTGTACTACCTGTCTGCCAGATTCACTTATTTCAAATGCAAATGTATTGAGCTCCAACAAACAACCCATCAATGTACTAAAAGCAAGGTTGTGATCCTCATGTTAACTTTTATATAAAAACTAGAACAGTTTTGAAGAGTTCAGTTCTCCTGTGCCTAAAATAGTAAGGTCCAAATCCTGCTGCTGTTTGCTGTATGTGGAGTTGTAGTCATAGAAGTGGCTGTTTGGTAGGGTGCCAGACAGGTGCCTGGCTGCGCAACCAGTCATGTACCCAGCACCTCATTAAACAGCACCTTCCATGAGTGTTACTCCACATGGAGCAACAACCTTCTAGCCTTCATGTTTGTGGCAATAATATTTTGTAATATCAGGTGAAATCTGAAGGCGTACCGGGCCATCAGCTTAGAATCCTGGTTTATAAATTTAAAAGACACTCTGATTGACCAGGAGTGATTTGTGTGAGCATAACAATGCCTTTTTTGTGTGTGTTTTTGTTTTTTTTGCTTTGCAGTGCTCACTTGAATCACCATCAAGTAGTGGCATGGTCCAGTGGCTGATAAGTTACTTCCTTACCATGCAGTGGTGACTGGGCCTTATTCTCATGGGAAGATCTTGAATTTATGGGCAGGAAACATTGCCAAGGAAGATGAGAGGCCTTTAATGATATTTCAGTGGGTTTAATGGTATCTGCAGAGCAGGAGAATATAGCAGTGATTTGGTAAGGCTGCTTAATATGTCAGAGTAGGAGAGTGTAATGTGGTGAACTAAGACTGTAGGAAGCTGCAGTATCTTTGGGTCATACTCTCTGGTTTTATGTTCCAACTGGCAGCAGTTTTCTGCAATTTCAGGTAATGTGTTTCCTATCAATTACCCTATGATCCTTTTAATGGGATCCATCAGCACTGAATTTGAAGCACTCTGCATATGAAGCATGTCCCCTTAACTACATTCCTCCCCCTCCCCCAATACGTTTTGAGAGGGCTCTGTTTGACTGATAGAAATAACAAGGCCTTATTATACTTAGCCAAATCTGGGGAAAAGCCAATCTCATGTTTACTAACAGTGTTCTTAAACTTGACAGTACAAAACACATTCTCATGCTACTCTGCCCAAGATCCTGAAGGCTGGCTAGCTAAATATTGTTTTCAGTGGGGTTCTATGAATAAAAACTGCAGTTTGTGCATGTTGCGTTTTCTGTACACCAGCCAAAAACAACACGTGGTCTGTGGGCTGCATGCAAACTCTCAGGGGCCCAAATTCATCACAGTACCTGAAGAACTACCCCACAATATTTTGGTACATGTTCCTGTGTGAAATTTAGGGTCTTGGTTAAGATTGTACGCTCGCCCAGTAACCTTTCCTCCATTTTAAAAAATAAAATAAAAATTTGCAACCACTAGAAGGTACAAGGGACTTTTTCATTTTTTTTAATGTGTTTTAGATTGTTTCTAGTCTGTTCTCATTCCTCACACAGTGACTAAGCGAGAAAGCAATTTTGAGGCAAACAAATGAATTCTGGCAATGAAACTGCATTGTGGCAGACTAACAACCAGAAACTGAGGTGCATTGAAGGGCCTGATGAGAGCTCAGCCATTTCTTCTTTAAGATAATAATTAACTGCCAACCAATCATTCTGGTGTTTTGTTCGGGATTTCTAGAACAAAAAAAAGCCTACTTCTTTTTCCCGTCCTGTCAGAGGTTGTATGTCATCACGAGTGTTTTCATTTTGAATTTGGCAGCTCTGAAACAGTGTTGTGTTGTATGGTTATACAGTTTTTATGGTTTTCTGCCAATAAGTTCTTCTTCCTGCATGACTTCTCCCATTTATTTACATATAAGTTAACTTGCTTACTAATTACTCAATAATTTTGTATGATACTGCCTGTATGTGTTTTTCTTCTTTTAAAAAAGATTAGCATTTCCTTTCTCTTGAAATGAAAATAGAAGACTGAGCTCCTGTAGAGCTTCTCTTACTACCATTCATTTGGGGAGAGAGAAATAAACAAACACGAGCCTTCCATCTGCCGCTGTGTGGACGGAGTGAAAGTGAAGTTAGATAGTCCTGCAACTGCATCTGATTCCCTATTCGCCTTGCCATCTGTTTCCCTCTCTGTGTCTAAGCAAGCTAGAGCAATAGACAAAACATTTTCTTTTGCAGTCAGTTGTTTTCAGTGCAGAGAGTTCTCATTTGAGTGAGTAGTAATTTTGTTTTCAACTGGCTCCAGGTAGCATCTTCTGATGGATCTTTCTGTGCTGCTAGGAATCCCACACTTGGTTGTACTCTCAGCATGTGTGTGTTTCTGCCTCCTACTACACACTTCACTGCCCCTTTGCTTGCCCATCTTTCTCCTCCTCTCTCTTCCTCTGGGCATGGCTAACTCAAGCACCTGGCTCTCCTTCTTCCTCTCTAGATCTTTGAACGAATCCTGTTTATCTGGGCCATCCGACACCCAGCCAGCGGCTACGTGCAGGGGATTAATGACCTGGTCACTCCATTCTTTGTCGTGTTCCTCTCTGAATATGTTGGTAAGCGATGCGTATGGCTGCAGTGTGTTCTTATCCTGTGTTGTTGAATATTCAAATTATTATTAGATAAGCCTTATCATGCCAGAAATGCTTTGCTGGTGGCTGCTATATAAAACTAAGACTGCTTATTCTCACTTTTCTCCTGGATTGGCTTTTGTCAGTGGCATACTATGCTTAACACTGAGAATAAGAACATATTTTGAATGCGAATCTAGTTACAGTATATTTCCTAGTAGGCCAACAAATGATAGCACACTGATTTGGAAAGTTTCTGAAATTTCATGGTAAGCATAATAAATTATGTAGGGCAGGGAGAAAGGGCTGGAAATTCGAATTTGACAGCTCTTTCTCTCATGCCTATGTGATTGAGAGTTAGACTACAATGTGTGTGCATGCATGCATCCACATGGGGTGAAGAGATAAGGAATCAGTTGTGTAGGGAGAAAAGATAGTATGTGGTCTTGCAACTCTGCAAACAGGCCACCATTAATTATTGTTCTGCCCATGACTGGGAGTATTTATAATTTAAGCCATCAGGAGCCTTTCATAGGAAAGAAAGATGCTTCACTAACGTATAAAAGAAGAGAATTCATTGCTGTAAGCATTTTAAAAGATCTTTGTCTGATGCTTAAAGAGGAACTAAGCTGATAATATGGCAACATTCCACAAGAGAGATTCTTCAGTTCAAGTCCCTCTCTAGCTGCTACAGTGGTGCCTCGCTTGACAAGGATAATTCGTTCCGTTGAAATCACTGTTAAGCGAAATCCTCATCAAGCGAAATGAAAAAGCCCATTGAAATGCATTGAAACCGGTTCAATACGTTCCAGTGGGCTGAATTCCTCAGCGTCCAGTGAAGATCCTCCATAGGGCGGCCATTTTCTGTGCCTGTAAAGCGAGGAATCTGTCCTGAAAACACAGAGGGGAGCCATTTTGCACAGAGGGCGGCCATTTTAGAGCCGCCGATCAGCTGTTTCAAAATCGTCGTTTAGCAAAAAAATCGAAGCAGGGAACCGATCATCGTTAAGCAGTTTTTTACCATTAAAACATTGTTTGTGATTGCAAAACTTCATCATCAAGCGGTTTCATCCTTTAACAAGGTAACCATTAAGCAAGGCGCCGCTGTACCCACTTTATTTCAGATTAAGGGGCACCTGGCCTCAGAAGATTGACATGTAGAGTTTTGAAACACCACCACTTTGAATTGTGCTTGGAAACAAACGGGGGTTGGAGTGGAAGCTTTTTGGGTGCTGTTGAAAGATGCTTCTAGTGACTTGTCTCAGTTAGTAAGCAACTAGCTTTACTTTGAAGTAATACACCACCAGCATGAAATGGCTTGCACTTGTCTAATCTGGGATTTTCCAGAGCATCTCTGTCAACAATGCTGGGTTGATGTGCACTTCCAGAGTATGAATTATGTGTCGACCCCTCCATGCATAGACTGAACAGACTACTTGAACAAATAAATCATCATCAGTTGTTCTTCAGTCTTGGCAGGATTGAGTTTATTGTTCCTCACATAGCCAATTAATGATTCCAGACACTGAATTACCACATTTGTAACAACTGGATAAGATGTAAAAGAAAATCCCTAAATTATTGTCTTCTCTGTGTGTGTGTGTGAAAATGCAGGGGACAAAATGGACCCCATAGCAAATGTGCCACAAGGCTACATGATACCAAACCACACCCCAGCACCTAGAATCAGTCCTCTAGGACTGGAACCAGTGGACCACTCTGCTCCCGGTTCTCAATCCATAGAACCCATTGTGAAGAACACAACAATGGAGCATAACAAAATATATCCAGAGGCTCTGTTTGTTAATGAGAGCAGCCAAAGCTATTTGGTGTCAAAATTAGACTCAAAGCATGTTAATTATATTGTTTCCTTTCAGACTGATCCAAGAGCACCTGGAATTCAGTGCACAACCTCAGAATTCAAAGTGGTGCTGTACCCCTTGTTCTCTCAACACCAGTTTCTTAGCCTTGAGAAGTGACCTTGCCAAGCAAGGGACTTTCTGTTTTTTATTGTGAATGGCATGCTACGCTTCATTCATACTATGGATATAAATGGCTTGCCTCTCTTCCTTGATGTTAAGCATCAGTATCTGGAGCTAGCAGTAGTAAACTTTGTTACTTGTTCCCATTTCAGGTTTCTTGAAATAGATGCTTGTTATCTAGTTTGAGTCATTTCTAAACATATTCATCCCTTTTTAGCAGAGCCTGTAGCATAGATGTTGGAGTCATCAAGCCACCAGAGGGTCCCAGGGGAAGCATTTTGTGTAGGAAATCTTTGTTTGAGGGTGCACACCTTTAAAAATAACATATCCCCAAACACACTTACATATTAGTTGTGATGCCTATGCCTTTTACTTTTGTATTTACTAGCCTCTTAGTTGGCATCCTTGGTCAGTGACTCAAGGCCACTGTCATTCATTAATGCTTCTCTGACATAAATAAGTATTGCATTCCTTAGCTTATTTTTATGATTGAGAAACTTCTTACAGAAAAATCTGATGCTCAGTTTGGTCATTTTAAACTCAAGGACCATACAAGGAATTAAATTTACCAAGCTTGATAACAGCTCAGTAATTGGGGAAGGCCATTTGTTTTGAATATTGTACTGTATTATGCTCTAGTACTGTGACAGTTTCAGAAAGTAGAGCTGTGTTACCGTGTTGCAGCTGAACTGCAAGGGTTTTGTGGCACCTTAAATACAAAAAACATTATGATAGCATATGCTGCCATGAAAGTTCATACTATAATAAATTAATTTGCCTTTATGCTTCCATACCACAAATACACCATGTGTATCGATTTGCTTTTACCACATTATTGAGATAATTTGCACTGATGCCATCTTTTGCTCATTCAGTAACGACGTCTTGTAAAGAATATGGGGCAACTGGAAATGGTTTCATAGTAGCCGTTTGAAGGATCTTTACAAAAGCCCAAACATAAAGAAGAATCTAGCAAGCTGGTTTATTAATCAAACAAGGAAGAGCATTTATTTTGGCTCACAGATTCTCCTATTGTCTGAAACTGCTTTCCTTGCTCCCCACTGAAAAGGAGGCCAGTGGATGGACCAAGTATTGTCTCATCGCAGTTTTCTCTTCGTTGCCTGTTGCCTGTTTCCATAATGTCCATTGTTGGCCTGCTCTGCAGTCCCAGTTGCCTTTGTGAGCTGGCAGAGTGAACAAGCACTTCTGGACCTCTGCCAGATCTATATACGGAGTGTCTTCTGCTCCCATCAGATCAATTGCTTTTGCTGAACATTGCTGAGCACTGCTTGTTTCAGCGAGTTATGTCTGACAGAATGGCTTATGGGAGTTGCCAGAGGTGGAGTATGAGCGGATGTTGAATGTCGCACAGGTGGAGTTATAGTAGGTTGCCAAAGGTTCCAAAGTGCCAGAGTTGCTGAGCAGTCTTTTGGATGAGATTTTAGTTGCATGTTCAAGTAGTCACCAGCATAAATGGATTCTCTGGGCAAAAAGAGGGCAGGGTATGTGTGTTTTGGTAGGACATCAAGGATTTTAAATGGTTTAACACTCCATTTATTTCTGGCCATTAGAAATGGATACAGGGCACTCAGTTGTTTTTAAAGACAACCACATGGTATGATGGCAAATGATTTGTTAAATGCCTTGTTAAATCGCAGCAACTACAGTGTTGGTTGGTGCTACGCCAGTCTAGATGACAGTGTTGATATCTGAACTTTGAATTCCATTAATGCCTTTTGCTTTATTTTTGTAAAATGGAAATCGTGACTACACATGATGTTTGATATGAGAGGAGAAATGTAAAACTTGTTAACAATAAAGGTACCATAAAGTGGGGGAACTTGTATTGATTGCCTCTTTCTGGCATCTGCGGACACAGTGCTCTTTGGAACTTGCCTTCTATTGTATTTTTGCCCTCAATTGTTTGTTATAAATGGCTCCAAGTACCTTACTGTGCACACTCGGAAACTAAACTCTGTTAATTTATATTTACCAAGTCAGTCTCCAGAGTTATTTCTCCTCCTATCCATCCTTTTTAAACTTTCTAATTTAGTTATAGCAAGAACCCAGAACCTTTTTGAGTTGGGGCCATATTTGGAATTTGGAAGAACTGAGATGAATGCTGTCATCATATGCCNNNTATTTATTTAATAGCCCGCCTATCTGGTCGGTTAAGACCACTCTATTTTGTGATGATTCACAAAATAGCTAATGTTTGTATCAGAGAGACAGACATGATGTGACAATTTCACAGAAGTAAAGCATGTGACACACTTTAAATTCAATATGAAGCAACAGTGAAAAACTTTTTTTGAACCCATGGAAATCAGTTTCATAGAAGGCAAAATCTTTTTCTCTCCCCCATGCCAACTTATTTTTGTATCTCTGTTCTCACTGTGGATTATCATCCATACACACACTCCTTCTCAAACCAGACCAAAATACATCCTTACAGATACAAGCAGCCTTCTTTCCTACATGCCCATACACTCATTTAGATATATAATGTATACAAATACAGATTAATCATGCAGGCTTAAAAAATGCTGTCTGCTTTGTTGCTTCAGATTGGTTAGTTTCTGCAGTAGCATGACTTCTTAGGTGGGAGCATGTTTTCTTTTGCAAAACATTTTAATGGATAGTCTAGTTTGCTACAGACTAGAATGCCATTTCACCTTTCTGCTTTTTCTTTTCTAGTCGTGTATTCAGGCTCATGGGGAACTCAGGAATTTTGGGGAAGGGGCAGGTGGGTTTGGGTTGTGGTTGGAAAAATATCTGTGAGGGCAGTCTTGTCTGTCTATGTAGTTGTGTCAATTAAGGCATGGTTGTATCAATTTTTAAAAATATCTTTTTCAGATAGCGCTTGCAAAGAAATCTATGAACCAGACTCCGGTTGTGCTGAAAATTAATTCCACTTCGTAGTTACCAGTGCTGTGCCCTGCTTTGTTGGCTGACTGCCAGTCCAACATACTTTGTTCTTTCCAGCAACCATATGCATAGCAA